CACTTGTTGTGAAGCCTATAACTCCGTCAACGAAAGTTTTCAAGATCTAAAAAAATTTTCATAATCTTAGTTTTCTTCAAGCAATCGAATGAGATAAAAAAAAACAAGATTTTTTTTCCGACCATGTTCGAGCCCTATGGTGCAATGCTCGATATTCTCGCGAAACCTCTCTTAAGAATTTCTCTCAACTGTTTTACTAAAATTGATATCACAAAAATATATTTTATTTCAAGTAATGAACATAATTATGTGTAGTATTTTTTGCTGTTGTTATCAATGATTCGTTTGTTTATGTTTAATTCCATATTTTTCTCTTAATTCATGTAACAATGAATGATTAAAAGGACAAGTAATATTTCGACCATTATCTATAAAACCTTCTAATTGCCATTGATGATGTTCATGTACAAAATCTTCTATCCATATATCTAAACAAGCTAAATGTTTATCATCTGTTCTCATTGTAACTAAAGAACAAAATTCTTTATCGTTTTCACACATTTCAACAAATAATTGTCCATCAGGTGCTAGATTGTCTCGAGCGTTAACTGGTAATGAAAAACCTTGTAAAATAATTTGTGATGCTTGTCGAATTAATTTAATTACTTCATTTTTTTTAATACCTTTATGTCGTTCATTAATTGGATAATAAAGACCTTTGATATAAGGTGTACCACTTGTCATATATTGTTCAAGATATGAACTATATGCTCTTTCTGTATTTTCTGTTCCAAATGGTCTTATACCTCCAAGATTAATAGTTACAGATCCATCTGATAAAAATGTTTGATACATTTGTCTTGTACCTGGCCCAGTAATATGAATATCCATTTGACGAAAAATTTTTAATTGACCTATGAAATCATTTTCACTTAATTCATATGTTGATGATTGAAAATTAAATGGTGTCGAATTTATTTGAATGGAACTAAGGTTTAAAGTTTTCATTTGATTGTAGGAAAGATAGGAGACATGAACTAATGGCCATTGTAATTTAGTTGTGCTATTTAAAGTTTTATTTAAATATGAATTCGTATAATTATTTATTTCAGTTATAGCAGCATTAATTTCTGTTCTATCACTACTTGTAAAACGTTGATTATCAATAACATATGCTAATAGAAGATCATGAGAAGTTCGTTTTTCAGATGAAGATTTTTCTCGAACAATTGGTTGAACAAGACCATGTTGTTGATACATTTTATCACGAAAAAGTCTTGAAGCATCTAATTCAACACCACCACTTAATTGTAAATTCGGTTGTATACAACGATGACACAATGTTCCACTACCCATAATAAGTTCTTCGAACATAAACCAATTTCCTCTTGACATTTTGTTTAAATTAATTTGTGTAAGAATTCCAAGACCACCAAAACTACGATAAATATCTTCACTCCAACATACATTACAGTCACCTAATCCAGCAAGTATTCGAAAAGGATGAAGATGTCTTGGAGAAAAACGAATAAGTGCAACATATGCTGGATAAAGTCCATCAAAAAGTGCATGACCAATATTATCATGCCAATATTGACCAAAATAAAGAGTAACAGATGGAATTATCTTTGGATCAATAATAGTACGAA